GAGAGAATAAAAGAGCCTGAGTTTGGGGAGAGAGCAGGATTCAGCAGTCAACCCCCTGACTCTCCGCTGGACCCTCCCTGTGCACAGGTGAACTCGAGCAACGATTTTTGTCTTTTCTTTATACTTTGTGAAAGTTCTAGATCAACGAACCCGGGGTGGTAAAACCTTACCACGACACTTTCTAAGGCCTTTTTCATTCATCCTGTTCTCGTTTATCTGGTTCAATTATATAAAATATAATATATAACAAATACAAAAGTTGATTAAAAATAGTGTGAGTTTTATTTTAGGGGGGAGGAAAAGTATGTAAAACTTTTCCAAAAACCTGAGAAAACCTGGATACTGGCCTTTATGAACGCGCCCTATTGTTGATTGACAGCTCAGTGGTGTCAGGTTACAGGAGGGGGCGGGGTTTATCGCTGCTCAACATGGCTGCGCCCTGCTCAGATCAACAGGTCTAAAGGTAACTGGCGTTTTCGAGCGTTTTTGACGTTATTTTCCATTCGCCGGTCGATTGCATCCGCACCGACAGCAAAGAATATGTAGACACGGAGGAAAACAGTTGTCAAATGTACTGTCACTCACTCCAGCCTCTTGGCTCCTTAGATGAGCACCGAGCCGTTAGCATGTTAGCTTAGCGGAGCGTTAGTGGTAACTTTCAACTTGTTTACAGCCGACACGAAAGAGTTAGGTGGGGCGCTTTAAACATCTGCGTGTACCGAGTGTAGAGTGACAAAAGGTTCGTTGCATAACATAAAAGTTTTTCGTTGACGTCGAAGCAAAGGCACTTGACAACAGTGACGTCACTCGGACGTCGTACGTCGGTTGGTTGTTTTTGAGTGAGGATGGCACCTGGGAAGATTTGGTCCAGATCGATAGACAGACGGACAGACAGATAAATGGATAAAAAAAAATAACTTTCTTAATCCCTCGGGAGTTTTTTTGGGAAGGTAAGGACACAGACAATGTTGCCGTATTAACTAGTTGTATTGGGAAGGTTGCACAGCGTTGTAGGTTACTGTCAAACCATGTCCACTTTCGTATATTGTTCCTTGTTTGGGTGAATTGTCATTTTTTATTAAAAGTGATTTTTAATTTACCGTATTGACGTGTTTTGTTGATGAAAGTAGTTATCGCATCACATTGTATTTTTAATAATTAAAGAATATGCGATGTATGTATACAATATGTCTATGTATACAATAAAGTATAATACAAATAATAATAAATATTATAAAATTCAGCTGTCCCATCATAAGAAGAAACTAAACATTGTAAAATGCCGTGCCATTTTTTAATGCAAATTAGTTTACCACTTTTTTTAAATGGCTGACATAGGTAAAGATTGTTAGCATTCTAGCTAGCGCGTCATTATTCCCAGCATATACTGTTGCCCTCCCCCAGTATTTTTTTTATGTTGCATTAAAAAAAAAATTTTTTTTTTTTTTTTTTTGAATAAACACTTTTCTTCCATCCCACTCAGGTGTGAAGAATGTCTAAGGAGCAGGTGAGTATCAGTGACCTCCTGCACTCATTGGATAGCTCAGAGCTGCAGGAGGCAGAACAAGTGAGGGCCACAGTCAACCAACAGTTGAGCTCAGGTGAGAACCGCGTCAACACGTGCGGTCACACGCTTTATCTCAGCTGTATCACCTAATGACCCGCTGTAGTACACCCGTCTGTTGATGTTGTTGTTTCTTCCCGTGTCATTTTTCAACTTTTTTTTTTTCTCTCCACATGTCTCCACTTGTCTCTTGTCGCCTGACCTATGACCTGTAGTTTTGTTTCCTCTCCAGACAAGGGCGGCGCCGTCCTCTCCGCCGTGGTGGACTATTACCTGGAGTCCTCGTCATCTCAGGCCGTCCTCCTCTTGTCCTCCATCAGGGAGACTCATCACAAGGTTAGCGTCCTCTCACCCAGTTTCACCTTCGCCTTGAACCCTTTTTGTTTCTTTTTTTCTTCAACCTGTCTTTTGAAAACATGTCGCCCTCAGGCCCTCTTGGAGAAACTGAATGAGTCTCTGAACAGACCATTGACCCGATTGGTTGCTCTAACACTGCTGGGTCATCTGATCAGGAAGCAGCCTCCATGGGTTCATCACATCAGCCGGTCGGCCTTGCTGCCATCTCTGCTGCGCTGCCTCAAGGTAGGGCTGAAGAATTATGTAAATATGTAGTCTAATTATACCATCTGGCAAAATATGATGATTTAATTGGTTTTCAACATATGATTAATAATTTTACTTTAGCACTTAACTTTTTAAAATAACATAAAACCCAACGCATACAGAAATAAGACAATATCCTTGTTGGCTTTCAATTGCGAAGCATGAATGATAAATAAATATTACATTTAAAAATATATATAATTTTATTTGAATTAATATGAATACAGTTATTATATTATGTATACATTATATGTATTTTTTTAAAATATATATACGTTATGGGTGCATATAGGCAAGAATCCGGCAATACAGGGGCAACAATATATTGCAATATATATCATATATTCCAATATACGATATATTGTGATACGCTGTGATACTATAGGCATGATTTTTTTTTTTTTTTTACAATTTAATTGTAGAGTATTTTCTTACACCCCTATATGTTATCAGTACTCATAACAAAATAATTTGTCTGTCCTCCTGCACTGCTGTCGTGTTTCCTCAGACTGACAGTGATGTGGTGGTCCTCATTACTGCCGTCCTGGTCCTCGTCACTCTGTTACCCATGATCCCTCAGGCCGGAAAGCAGCACATCTACGATTTCTTCGATGTGTTTGGACGACTGGCGTCCTGGAGCTACAGAAACCCCGGTAGACACTGCGACACCGGGTGTTGATGTATTTCTGCTTTCGTTGGTGCTGTGCACTTGTGACCTAATGTATGGGGTGTGGCCCATTTTTCAGCATTACACTAATGAGACCAGCGCATGTCACGAAGTTGTGAAATTGAAATTTTGAAACAAGAAACGTATTTCTGGGAACTTTGTAAATTTGACCGGTCTTTTTGGGAACGACACTGAACCCATCTTAATGTTTTGTTGCAGCTCAGTCACCTGTGGTTCACCTGGTCCACCTTCATGCTGGTGTCTACTCTCTGTTTCACCGTCTCTACGGCATGTTTCCGTGTAACTTCATCTCCTACCTTAGACTCCACTACAGCATGAAGGAGAACCTGGACACCTTCCAGGAGGTCATCAAGGTCAGTAGAGACCACCAGGGTCGGTTCATGATATTATGAATTTATTACTGATATTAAGCAAGTTGGAACTAGTACTGTAGCGCTTCAAAATAAAACAGTCTGGAATTTTAACGGTTAAAGCAGTGATTCTCAAACTTTTTATACTCCGTACCACCTGAGAAAACGTTGAGCTCTCTGAGTACCACCATGATGACCAGCATTAGCATATAGCAGCGTAGGCCTTCGCTATTAGCTTCCACCACACAGGAGATAAATGTTTATAAAAATGATTATGTTTAAATGTTGTATTTATTGTGCATGGTATGTTTCAGGGTTATTCAGTTGAAAATGTATATGCGAAAATATGAATTTTCCTTGCGTACCACTAGAGCGCGCTCTACCACAGTTTGAGAACCACTGGGTTAAAGGAAATGGAGGCAAATTCCTACATGAGTAACTCGACATCCAGTACCAGTGAGGAGTTTCTCCAAAGTGTTTAATGTTAATCTATTGCAAAACAAACGAAATTATGAAAATAAAAAAAAACCGAATGTTCCCTCGAGGATTTTATAACGTAACTTCTGTTTGCTTTCTTAAAAAAAAAGAAAGAAAAGAAATGTAAACAATATGGTTCTCTCCTGCCACAGCAGCTGCTCAGTGCTGTTTACTTTGCTGCACAAAAATAGCATCTGTAACGAGCAGCTGCTCCTTTTCTCAGAAACCAGGATCGGGAATACTCCGAATACAGCGCTTCATTTAGAGCAAGACGGTGGTCACACGGAAACCGGAAACTGAATGATCTGTTCTGACTGTTAAGCACATTCTGACGGAGACTTTAATAACCCTAAATGTACCCAATTTTTTCCTGCAACCACTTTGAAACCACTTTGCTTTTTTGTAATAAGTTCAACATGTTCACCTGTTTTTGGTCTGTGTGGCTAAACTGTGGCGCAAATAAATGCTATCAGTTCGTGTCCGGTATTTGTTGAGTACATTTTTGTCAGATTGTGTCTCTGTCTTCCAGCCCATGTTGGAACACGTCAGAGTTCATCCTGAGTTGGTCACGGGGACGCAGGACCAGGAGCTGGAGCCGTCCAGGTAACCACCAGTCCACACACACTGTGGTGCTTCTGTTAGGTTCATCGTACTACCATTAAGGCAGGGGTGTCAAATATACAGCCCGCGGGCTAAAAACTAGCTTGTTTGGTGAAATTTGAAAATGAAAACAAAAATACAAAAACACTTCATGTTCAGGAAATGTTTTGTAAAATTACATTTCATTATAATTAATTTAAATAATTATATTCACATATAATTAGGATTTGTCTAATACACTTGTTTTTACAGGAAAAACTTATTTTCCTTAGGAAAGACTTATTGTTATTTATAGGTAATTGCACTGGTCCGGCCCACCTCACACCTAATTAGGACGTGGCCTGTGAAACAAAATGAGTTTGACAGCCCTGTTCTAAGTCATAGTCTTGAGATTATTTTAATGTCACATAAAATGCTATTTCTGCAGCAGCTACGCACCTATCTAAACACACTCATGGCTTTATGCATTCCATTTCTGCCAATAAAGCCTCATAAATATTACACGCTGGTGCTAAAAGTGATTCACAGGAGGTAGGTTTTAAGCTGCAACCTTACAAAGACAGGAGCTGTAAATACGCTGCGCCTTTCTTTTTTCCCTGTTTCTCTTGGTTTTTCAGAGAGGAGCGAGAGTCCTGGATCAGAGCCAAATATGAGCAGAAACTGTTTGTGGCACCACTGCCTCCTCCCTCTCCCAGCGAGGGTCCAGACATCACACTCGCCGGCCGTCTCCTCATGGCAGTGATGGAGCACAACCTCCCCAAACTGCTGCTCCTTCTGGCCCACTGCTCTAAGGAGGACATTAATGCACCTGTTAGCCTGGCCCTGTCCTCCAGGTCCCTGTTAGCATATACGTATATGTATACGTATTTATATATATGTGTGTATATGTATATATGTATGCATATATGTATGCATGTATGTATATGTATGCGTATATGTATACATGTGATTAGTTAATAGTCTCTTGGAAGTGAAGTCCACACCACATTCACAAATGTACTGTTTAATAATGTAAAAAAAAAAAAAGACGAGTCTACTCCTCCTGCAGGTGGCGATGTTACGAAGTCCATGACATTGTAATCGAGTGCTCCAGAGTGTCCCTGGATCCTCTGGAGTCGTCCTGTGAAGAGGACATTTACACCTCCCTGAGAGAACCCACCTCCACCTCCCTGTGCTCTTCACCCCCACTCAGACCTCCAGAACTCTCCTCCCCGCTCCCTGCCCTGGACCTCACCTCCAGTCCTCTCATCACAGAGAGTGTTACCAGTGCTGGTGAGGGACAGCAAGTGTTTTTTTTTTTAATTATTATTTTAGCTCACAATTTAAATTTGACTACTTCTTCGAAATGTATTATTTCTGTTCTAACTTTACGGCTGTTCAAACTTTTTAATTTTCTGTGTTTTTACAGTCGGTTCGTCTTCTTTGATCTTTGACACCTGTGCACAGGTAAATGTCTTTCGTTCGGCTCCTCCCAGTCACCTCCCATGATGCCCTGCAGCCAGGGTCTGCCGTGAACGCCGTTGAACCTACAAACCCTTGTCTGTGATTGGTTCTGATCAGACCCAAACCAATTAACCTCCAGTAAATGTTTTTGTGCTCAGGCTGATGATGTCACATGGAGCCCCTCTCTTTACTGCGGCCTGTCCACACCCCCACCCGAGTCTGCCGCGTCAGGCTCCACCCACCCTCTGGGCAGGTGCACCTCCATCTCAGGTGAGACGACGATGATTATAATTATAATGATCACGGTGTTCACACACACACACACACACGCTCTCTCTTTGACATCAGGTGTAAAATCTCCCTCACTGGCCTCCGTCTCTCCAACGCCACCTAGTGAAGGGAACCAAGATGGACGCCTGGCTCCAGACAACAACAATCAGGTGAAATATTGTTGTTGTTTTAAGTGTTGCATAATAAAGGTCCTAAAACAGTGAAAGGCGCATACATATACCAGCAAAATGTAGTACCAAGTACTTGTACCAGGGACCAGAAGCCAATCACTAACGACTTCCTCTCCCTCGATGTCCGTCAAGGTGAAGCCGCAGCCAGTCACAGAGATGCGGCGCTCCTGCTCCGTCTTTCAGGCCGTAGGAGAGCATGAGAAGACGAGTCGGGGTGATGTCATCAGTCAGGATGATGTCATCAACAAAAGCAATGAAGGTGAGTTACTGAAAAAAAATGTATATTTTCTCCTAATAAACCAGAAATATTTTTTTCAAAGAATTACGAATTTTTGAAATGTTGAGATTATTAATGAATAATAAGCTAATAAAAATTAGCGATCAATGTCATGAGCCTGAGTCTGGAGGAAGAGTCGGTGAGGAGTGATGTCACTTCCTGAGATAAAGATGTTAATTGTCGACTTGATTGCTGTAATTTTCTCTCTCTCTCTTCCTCTCTCTCTCTTTCTCCCTCTCTCTCATTCTCTCACTCCCTCTCTTTCTCTCTCTCTCCCTCTCTTTTTCTCTCTCCCTCTCACGCTCTCTCTCTCTTTCTATCTCTCTTCCTCTCTTTCTCTCTCTCTCTCTCACTCCCTCTCTTTCTCTTTCTCTCTCTCCCCTCTTCCTCTGTCTCTCTCTTTCTCCCTTTCTCTTTCTCTCAATCACTTCCTCTCTTTCTCTCTCTCTCACTCCCTCTCTTTTTCTCTCTCCCTTTCTATCTCTCTGTCTGTCTCTCTCTCATTCTCTCTCTCCTCTTTCTCCCTTCCTCTCTCTCTCACTCACTCCCTCCCTCTCTTTCTCTCTCTCTCCTTCTCACTCTCTTTCTATCTCTCCCTCTCTTTCTCCCTTTCTCCCTTCCTCTCTCTTTCTCTTTCTCTCTCTCACTCACTCCCTCTCTCTCTTTCTACCTCTCACTCCCTCTCTTTCTATCTCTCCCTTTCTCTCTCTTTGTCCGTCTCCCTCTCTTTCACTCCCTCTCTCTTTCGCTCTCTCTCACTCCCTCGCTTTCTCTCTCTCCCCTCTTCCTCTGTCTCTCTCTTTCTCCCTTTCTCTCTCTCACTCCCTCTCTCTTTCTCTCTCTCACTCCCTCTCTTTTTCTCTCTCCCTTTCTATCTCTCTGTCTGTCTCTCTCTCATTCTCTCTCTCTCCTCTTTCTCACCTTCCTCTCTCTCACTCCCTCTTTCTCTTTCTCCCTCTCACGTTCTCTCTCTCTTTCTATCTCTCTCTCTCTCTTTCTCTCCTCTTCCTCGTTCTCCCTTCCTGTTTCTCTCTCTCACTCACTCCCTCTCTATCTTTCTAACTCTCACTCCCTCTCTCTCTTTCTCTCTCTCACTCCCTCTCTTTCTATCTCTCCCTTTCTCTCTCTCTGTCCGTCTCCCTCTCTTTCTCTCTCTTTCTCTTTCTCTCTATCTCACTCCCTCTTTCTCTCTCTCGTTCTCTCTCTCCTCTTCCTCTTTCTCCCTTCCTCTCTCTCACTTTCTCTTTCTCTCTCTCACTCCCTCTCTTTCTATCTCTCCCTTTCTCTCTCTCTGTCCGTCTCCCTCTCCTTCTCTCTCTTTCTCTTTCTCTCTCTCCCTCCCTCTCTTTCTATCTCTCCCTTTCTCTCTCTCTGTCCGTCTCCCTCTCCTTCTCTCTCTTTCTCTTTCTCTCTCTCCCTCTTTATCTCTCGCTCCCCCTCTCTCTCCCTCTCTTTCTCTCTCTCCTAACTCTCCCTCTCTCTCTCTCTCTGTTTGTTTCCAGATCTCAGGTCAGCGCTCTTACCTTTACCTTCCCCCTCCGTCCCCTCTGAGCACATCCTCCTCACCTCCACTCCCAGCTGTGAGCAGCCACCCTCAGGCTCACCTCCTCCTCCTCCGCCTCCTTCCTCCTCCAACTCAATGTGCTTCACCCCGTCCAACACCTCCTCCTTCAGATCAGAGAAGGGCGATGTCGCCGTGGTAACCTCCGCCCCTTATGAACCGCTGTTTGATTTGGCGCTGCCTCAGGCCGCTCCGCTCTTCATCCGAAAAAGGACGCAGGTTAACGAAATTAATTTAAGCAGAAAAAAAAAATTGCTTGTCATTTAGTCCAGCGCTCCCCCTGCTGGTAAAAGGGAGATTTCGAAATGCATTTTTTAAAATAAATAATATAACTACATATCCCAGAGTTCCTCATCTTTCCTGGTGTAACAGCAAATTGGAAGGCATAAAATATTGTTAATTTTCTGTCTTCGTCTTCCGTTACGTGCAGGAGTTGTTGGAGAAAATGACAGGGCAGGAGGAGAAAGAAGCCACGGAGGTGGAGGGCGAGGACCGGGAGCTGACCCAGACCTCTCCAGTCCCCTCCCCTCTGGAAGTTTTAAACCAGCTGATCACGCGTGGGTGTGACACTCACGAATGTCTCAGCAGGAGGTGAAGGAGAACGTGAAGAACGCACCATTTATCTCATTTTTTATGTTGACACATTCATTATTTTTTATATTTATTTCTTATTATGATTTTTTAATATTCTTTATTTGTTTATTTCTTATGATAAAATGACAGTGACAATGACCGTTGTTCTGTGTGTGCGGCAGGTTGTCGTCCTCAAATAAGTCTGTGGATCACAGTCATTTTGGAGGTAAACAGCAGAGCATGAAAACCAAAGGTACCTGAACTAACACTCTGGTCTAACTTTACTGATCAACGTCACCGACCGACGGTTAATAATTATACGGCGGTTCTATTTTTTTAACCAGAGAGGGTGGAAGAACGCAGAGTAAAGATGTTGAACTGTGTTGCTTTACTAAACAGCATGTTACCGCGGAAATGTTGTCTTTAAACTGAATGGTGTGACTTTTTTTTTTTTTTAACTCGACAAGCAAATGATGATTTAAATGAAAACTCGAACTTGACTTTTTTTACTCTCTAAAGTTGATGCTAAGATGCTAACCCAGGCATGGGCAAACTACGGCCCGGGGGCCCTATGCGACCGCTTCAGCTTCTCAATCCGGCCCGCCAAACTTTTCCAAATTATTATTTATTTGTTTATATTATCATTATACTACTGCCTTTTCCCCTACAATACCTATGTTTCCCCACTAGGTGGTGTAGAAAGTGCTAAAAGCATTTGAGCCATTTGAGTCATTTATGTTAGTTCACACCAACGCTCCACCCATCTGCTCCTGACCCCACCCCCGCACCCCCTGCTCAATTTTTAGGACAATTGTGGCCCGCGAGTCAAAAAGTTAGCCCACGCCTGTGCTAACCTTAACCTGTGGCTGCGGTGGTTGTTGTTGTTGTCCGGGTGCG